ATTTCAAACATAGTTTTTAATAACAAATCAATTATCACTACGTAATAATTTACAAAAATTACTATTCATCACGAGAAAGTCATCCAATTTCAACAACAATATGATCCAATAACATTTCAATGACAATTTAAATGAATATTTTAATATTATAACTTTCATTAAATAACTTTTATGACAATTTCAATGCGAGTGTTCCATCAATATTCAAAATTGGTTTTAGTGGATTTTATGTTGATTTTGAGATTTTCACGATTTTAATGATAGAAATTATAGATAATAAAAATATTTTAACAAAAATTGCATATTGCAGTAAAAATTCTGACAACAATAACTCAAAATGTATTGTTAGAACCATCAAATTCCAACTAGATTCAAGAAAAAATTAATTCCAACTGAAAATTAATGTTTCTCTTCTTTGAATATCCATTACTATTTTTCAACTATAATTTTAACATTAGAATTTCTATAGGAATTTATCTTAATATATTTTTTCTGTTTTATTTTCATTGGATTATGTAACCCCCTTATATATCTATGAAAAATAAATCATTATTTTACTATTTACCGACCATATTACAGTTACATATAATATCTTATATCACATTATCATATATTTTTAAAATATTAATTATTTTTATTATTTTTTTATCAAGTGACAAAAACTGGGGAAAAATGGGTGCTGGCCCACTACCATGAAGGACACAATGAAAGAAGGGAAAAACCAATATGAAGCCCAAATGGGGTTCCATCCCAAAACCAATTGGTTGAAGGAGGAGTAGCCAATTAGTCTTATAAGGTGGGTCTATTTTCCATATATGAACGATGTGGGACAACTCACAAGTGATATTCTAACACGCCCTCTCACTTGTGAATCCTTCGAAAGCCCAAGCCCAACTGGGCTGGGTGCCCCAAGCCCTACTACAAACAGACTCCCATAAACGGGTATGTGGGGGATAAAAAATGAGTACGTCATCAGACGGTTCAAGATAGAACCAACTCACAAGTGATATTCTAACACGCCCCCTCACTGGTGGGTGCCCCAAGTCCTACTACAAACAGGCTCTCATAAACGGGTACGTGGGGGATAAACAATGGGTACGTCATTACACGGTCCAAGATAGAACCGGCTCTGATACCATGACAGAAACTGGAGAAAAATGGGTGCTGACCCACTATCATGAAGGACACCATGAAAGAAGGAAAAAACCCATATGAAGTCTAAATGGGGTTCTATCCCAAAACCAATTGGTTGAAGGAGGAGTAGCCCATTAGTTTTATAAGGTGGGTCTATTTTCAATATATGAACGATGTGCGACAACTCACAAGTAATATTCTAACATAAATAAAATCACCCATAAAAATATATCCAACTCTACCTTTTAAGTTCGGAGTTGAATTTGTGGCTGTGGGCTAAGGTGCCCAAAGGTGGCACACGTCGATGGGTATGGATTTTTCATAATAAATAATAAAAAAAGAGTGAACACGTGGCGAACCAGCACATGTTTGCTGTGTTTGGCAACTTACCGAATCCGAATGTATGGGGCAAGTAAGGACAAAATTAGGGGAGTGTATAAGTGGAGAACACCTCCACATGTCGCATGTTTATTAATAACAAAATTATTTTGGTTTTATTGTGATTGTTTTTCTTTTACTTTTGACTTTTTACTTTCAATTTTTTTAAATTATTTAGGTTCTACAACTTGCATTAACTTAATATCAGACCCTATGCCCGAGTCGCTTAAGTGACTCAGTGAGATAAATCGCATGATGTGCTCGAGTGAGTTCTCATGGTCCAATATCCGTATTTATATATTAATTCAGAACGTGCTGAGCCTATATATGTGGCAGGCTCGCATGCTTCGGGATCTTATGTGGCAAAATTACATACTTCGTTATTAGTCTTGGATAAC